GGCCAGGCAGGCCGTTGCCTGCCTGGTCCAGTGTGTGTCGCGTTCCAGAGTGTTAGTGAGTTGAGGGAGGTGGTCACCACCTCATGTACAGTGTTATATTACTTACCGTTTAATAAATAGTGTTGCCTCCAAGCTGCGTGTGTGTGCACCTAATTCGAACCTACTACACTTGTATAACTTCATACAATTCATTGTATTATCCTGATTGATAATACGACCCTAGACAATGAAGCTAAGAACAATTATCATAACTGCATACATTAGCATAATCGCATACATTTGCATAACTTAAGAAACGTACACCTCCCTAAATAGCGTAATTATGTGCATAATTACATAAATTCGCATAATTGCGGATGATTATGTAATTATTTCCTTTTTATTACATTTTTATTATTTTTAAATCAAGACCCGACACATACAACAGTACGCACCGGCACGTGCGTACGCACACAATGACCCCCCCCACCCATCCCCATATAGCCTTAACAGACTGTTGGGGCAAGTGCTCTTAGCGAGTAGCACCGATGAAGGCCGGCAAAGCACATGAGGGGGGTGGGGTGGCCAACAAAATGCCCGGAAGCCTTTGTCTCCATAATGGCGATGTTTACACAACGCACCAGGCTGAGTCGACCTCACATAGACCCACTACTGATTCAGATAATCAGCACTGGTGTTAGCCTTTAAGTGGAGATTGAACTCGGGTCACTGTGTTAGAAGCGAAGGACACTAATTGCAACACCATCTCTCTCCACAGCAACACCACCAACAACAACTACACCATCCAGGATCGCACAAGAGCTGGGTTCACTATCTCTGGCTCGGCCACTATAACGAGTTCTGCTTGTAACACAACTCCTCCTCTCTTTTTGCTGCAGCAAATGACTCACTCTTCACTTCTAGATTTGAAGCTTTCGTGACTGCAATGATTCATATCCTTAGGTTTTTTCGGTAAAGTCACGTAGGTAAAAACATTAAAAAGTAAAATAAAATAAAAATCACGACGTTTCGGAGGCAACACAAGCTTCCGTCTTCAGGTGGTACCGTCACAGCCACGACAGCTGTATCAAGTAAATGAGAGATTTCAGGAGTTACCACTGCGTTTATATAATGGTTGGAGAAGGTGGTGGGGCATGGGCCGCATCTTTATTATTAATATGGTAAGGTGAGGCTTGAGACTAAGAATAGACTGCATAACAAAGGCTGAGCCTTATGGAGAGGTGCGGTTTGTGACTCAACCTGTAACAGGGAGACCACCACTAAACATGGTAAAACAGTAATGGTTGTCTGTCAAATAAGATTGGCAAATAAATGTAGTTAATCACATCTTTACAATGATTACTCAGTTTGTAACCGTCATCACGGTTGAAATTATGTCTGTGTTTGTATATTTGTATGGCTTCGTGTACAAACCTGTGATGGTAGCCAGGAGGTTTGCAGAGAACCTTGGTCTCGGAAAATACAATTTCATGAGAGCCCACCGAGTTGTAGCAATGATCGGCAACGGCCGAAGAATCAGTTCTGCCGTGTTTCAGATCTGACTTGTGCTCGCGGACACGATCAGAAACATGACGTTTCGTTTCTCCAATGTAGCAATCACCACAAATGCAACTCAATTTGTAGACTCCAGGATACTGTAAGTCAGGAACGACATCCTTCACAGATGGAATCAAATCACGGATTTTATGCACTGTACTGAATCGGACTTGGATCTTATGTTTGTTTAGAATTTTGGAGATCTTTTTGGTCATGCCTGCTATGTATAGACAAGACTCTCTTACAAACACATTTAATGTTAACACAAAAAATGTCACCTTCTGATTGGAACCACGTTGATTACATGACTTCTGCTTCTGCTGACTCAATGTCATCCAAATGCAAAGCTAACCTGATTTCTAAATTCAACCTCCTATCTAAGAAGAAACCAGAGCCACACATCGCAAAGCTGGATGTCAACAAGACCGTGATTAATCAGAGTAACATCCCAATTTCTGACAATCTAAAAACGGTACTGGCCAAAGGACTAAATTTCGCCGTCACCCCTAAATATATACCAGTAGAGGATATGATTTCTCAGATTGATGTAGCCCTCAGAGGCATAGGACACATCCATGCGGATGTAGCATGAGCTGAAATAACTACTATTCTTAAGAATGCTAAGAAACCCACAAGTAACATCAGCAAAAACGAACGCTCTAAACTCGCGGACCTAAAAAAGAGAGATGATATAGTCATCCTCTCGGCAGACAAGGGCAATGCCACGGTCATCATGGATAAAGATTCATACAACAACAAAATCCTGGACCTTCTTAATGATGGGAATTACTCCAAAATTAAAAACGATCCCACTAAAAACCTAACGATAAAAACCAACAGTATCATCACGAGTTCGACTTCCCTAACCGAACCAAGCAAACGTCCTTCTCTAAAACCATTGGAGGCTAGACCTCCCAGACTCTATGGTCTTCCCAAAATCCATAAAGAAGGCACCCCGCTACGACCCATCGTGTCGACGATAAACTCTCCTACGTACAAACTAGCCCGTTTTCTATCAGATACTCTGCTCCCCTTCACAGGCAAGACCTCTTCGGCAGTACTCAACTCAACCCAATTAGTCTCTATGGTTAAGGACATGGTACTATCTCCTGATGACATCCTCGTCAGCTTTGATGTAGTATCTTTGTTCACCAAAGTCCCAGTACCGGACACCCTAACAATAATTTAGGACTTAGTCCAACATGGATTGAATTCTGATGTACCTGCGCTGGTTAGGCATTGCCTCACCAACACTTATTTTACCTGGAATGGCACCTTCTACAAACAGAATGAGGGTACCCCTATGGGCTCCCCCTTGTCACCAGTTATAGCCAACATGTTCATGGAAAAGTTTGAATCAGACGCCATCCAGACATCCACCCTGCGTCCTTCCTTGTGGAAGAGGTATGTGGACGACACTTTCGTCATCTGGCCACATGGCCTCCCAGCATTGAACCACTTCTTGGACCACATCAATTCTAGACACCCATCCATCAGATTCACCATGGAAGTGGAGAAAGACCGTAAACTACCATTCTTGGATATTCTGCTTGAGAGGAGGCCTGACGGATCCTTGGGACATTCTGTCTACAGGAAAGCCACCCACACAGATTCCTACTTGAAACCGGATTCCCACCACCACCCATCTCAAAAGAATTCTCTCATCAAAACGCTATACCACAGAGCCCATAGCATTGCTGACCAACACCAACTAGCCGGTGAATTAAGACATGTACATCGGGCCCTCAGGATGAACGGATACTCTGACCGCACTATCCGCCAAGCTGTCTCTCCCACCATACAGAAACAGCCACATGAAACGCTGATCAAAACTATCACGTTGCCATACATAGCAGGCGTGACCAAAAAGATCTCCAAAATTCTAAACAAACATAAGATCCAAGTCCGATTCAGTACAGTGCATAAAATCCGTGATTTGATTCCATCTGTGAAGGATGTCGTTCCTGACTTACAGTATCCTGGAGTCTACAAATTGAGTTGCATTTGTGGTGATTGCTACATTGGAGAAACGAAACGTCATGTTTCTGATCATGTCCGCGAGCACAAGTCAGATCTGAAACACGGCAGAACTGATTCTTTGGCCGTTGCCGATCATTGCTACAACTCGGTGGGCTCTCATGAAATTGTATTTTCCGAGACCAAGGTTCTCTGCAAACCTCCTGGCTACCATCAAAGATTTGTACACGAAGCCATACAAATATACAAACACAGACATAATTTCAACCGTGATGACGGTTACAAACTGAGTAATCATTGGAAAGATGTGATTAACCATGCAAAAAAGATTTAACTACACTTATTTGCCAATCTTATTTGACAGACAACCATTACTGTTTTACCATGTTTAGTGGTGGTCTCCCTGTTACAGGTTGAGTCACAAACCGCACCTCTCCATAAGGCTCAGCCTTTGTTATGCAGTCTATTCTTAGTCTCAAGCCTCACCTTACCATATTAATAATAAAGATGCGGCCCATGCCCCACCACCTTCTCCAACCATTATATAAACGCAGTGGTAACTCCTGAAATCTCTCATTTACTTGATACAGCTGTCGTGGCTGTGACGGTACCACCTGAAGACGGAAGCTTGTGTTGCCTCCGAAACGTCGTGATTTTTATTTTATTTTACTTTTTAATGTTTTTACCTACGTGACTTTACCGAAAAAACCTAAGGATATCACTCTTCACTCTCTAAGAAAGAGAGAGAGACAGGGGACAACTCAGAGGTGGCAGGCGAAGGAGGTACTGCAGAGGAGTGGTAAGGCAGCAGCAGCCATTCGGTGAAGACTTGGTGCTCACAACAATTGCCCAAGCTATGTGGTCTTCTATATATTAAGGTGTTATTGGCCAATTACTGACGAGTGTTTGTAACTGGGATAAAATGGAGAAAACCCATGTGTCCAAACAAGGGGGAAACAGTCTATCCTATTCGGGCCAAACACATGGAGTCCACATTTGTGCTGTACTGCCTTTTCCTAGCAGAGCCTGAGTATGGATCTTCCTCGATGCCCACTCACAGGAAGATAGATTACGCTGTCTCCACACTCCCATTATGAACCTCTGAGGAACGATGCATTCAGTCCCTTTGTGAGAGGGAGAGAGACGGACCCAGAGCAAGGGATCTAACGCAGGGTCTCATCTGCACTGGCGCTATGTTTCTGACATGGCCATTATGAACACCCACTCCACCCACCCACCCCATGACACCTCACCCTTCCCGACTGCACCTCACCCAACCACTGCACCTCACCCAACCACCGTACCTCACCCACCCCACCCTACCCCACCCCATCCCACCCCACTCACTCACTCACTCATCCTCATACCCACTCAACCACCTACCTATTCAGTCACTCAATCACCCACACACTCATTCATTCAGTCACCTACCCACTCAGTCACCCACCCATACTACCCACCCAGCCACCCCCATAGTCGCCCACCACCTGAAATCGAACTTGTCTACGGCCACTGTGAGGTGTTGCGGCTGCTCCCCGCATCGGTAGAGGTTGCGGTCATCCAGGGGGATGAGGTCGACGTCAGAGAAGATGAAGCAGTCGAAGGGTGCGTCTCTGAGCGCCTCCACGTAGCCCACGTTCATCAGCTTGGCGCGGTTGAATATCCCGTTACCAGCCTAGAAGGTGGAGGAGGAGTTGGAAAACACGAGGTGGGCATGGTGGGATTGGCAGGGGGGGGGCAAAGGTGGGTATCAAGGGCAGCATCATCAGTAGCAGTTTCAGGTGGATGATTGATGGTGGTCTAGAGTAGAGGTATCATCATCAGCTCAGTGTGGTTAAACGTCCAGCTACCCGCCTGGCAGGTGGGCACAGGGTGGCATGGGGTGGCAAGCGGTGGAAAAGGGTGGCAAGGGGTGGGGGCACAAGGTACACGGGATGAGCACGGTTGGGTTGGCAAGGAACGGGGGGGGGCAAGGGGGGGGGCAAGGGTGGGCATCAAGGGCAGCATCATCAGTAGCAGTGTCAGGAGGATGATTGATGGTAATCTAGAGTAGAGCCATCATTTGCATAGCTCACGTTCATCATCTTAGGGTGGTTGAAACATCCCTCTGCCAGCCACTTTGGGGAAGGGTTCAGGGAGTAGGGTATGGGGTGTGCACGATGGGGTGTGCACGGTGGGGTTGGAAAGGAGGGTAAGGGGTAGGCAGCATCATTAGTAGCAGTGTCAGGAGGGTGATTGATGGGGATCTGGAGTAGAGGCATCATCATCAGCTCAACGCGGTTAAACGTCCCGCTACCCGTGCTTGGCAGGTAGGCACAGGGTGACACGGGGTTGCAAGGGGTGGTAAGGTGTGGGGGCACATGGGGCACAGAGTGGGCAGCAAGGGCAGCATCATCAGTATCAGGATGATCTGAAGTAGAGCCATCATCGTCATAGATGATGGGGGAAGGGGGCACGGGTGGAGGGGCGGTGGAGTGGGGGGGGGGGTAGCGATTGACATTATCATTGTCTTTGGCAGTGGCAGTAGCAGCAATATCATCAATACGATGGCCAGCATGATCCTCGTCAGCAGCAGCAGGAGCATCACCATCAACTAGGGTGAAGCTGCTGCAGCAGCAGCAACGCCAGGTGGCGCTCTAGAGCTCGGCACGCAATCACCACGGCGACCTCCATCACCACATCCATCACCTCTATCACCATCACCAACACCTCCATCACCTACCACGTCCAAAACGACCACCACCGCCACCTCTGTCACCACTGATACCAATTCCTACTATTCGCCACTAAGTGACAGCTGCTTGAGTAACAGCGCCAGGTGGCGCGCTCGAGCTCGGAACAGGATCACCAGCGACCTCCATCACCACCTCCATCACCGCCTACATCACCACCTCCATCGCCACCACCGCCTACATCACCACCCCCATCATCATCATCTACATTACCTCCATCGCCATCATTACCTCTACCGCCATAAAAAAATATACAAAGACAAAGGTACCCCGTTTAGCCTTCAACATACTGTTGGGGTAAGTGCTGTTAGCGAGCACCTATAAAAGCCGGCACGGCAAACGAAGGGGTGGATGGCCAACACCCCGCACGGCCTCCTTCGTCTCCCTAGTAGCGATATTTACACACCGCATCAGGTACTCATTTGAGGCCGAGTCAACCTAGGGAAGGTCCAGGACCAGTTCAAATAATCGTGGCTGGTGTTGGCCGCGAGAGGGAATCGAACTCAGGCCGCCGGGTTCGTAGTGCAGCACGCTAACCGTTACAATACCGCCATCACCAACATCACCACCTCCATCACCACTTCAACCATCACCACCATCTCAACCACCGCCCATCGCTCACCTGGGTGACCACGTAGACCGAGTAGTGCGCCTGCTGTCTCTGGAGCATGGGGTGCAGCTGCTTGAGTAGCAACGCTAGGTGGCGCTCCCGAGCTCGGAACGGAATCACCACGGCCACGCGCTGCTGGGCCAGACAGCCGTCAGGGCGGTAGCTGCCCCCAGGGCTCACCAGGGGGTTGGACTGGGACACCGACTCCAGGCTAGGAGTCGAGGAGACCTGGACGTCCATGGGACCCACTGTGTGGGTGTGTGGGTGTGTTACAGGATATATGGGTATCTTTGTTGTGTAGGTGTGTCTAGGTGTGTGTTGTGGGGAGCGGTAGTGGAGCGGTTAGCACGCTGCACTACGAACCTGGCGACCCGAGTTCGATTCCCGCTCACGGCCAAAATCAGTGACGATTATCTGAACCGGTCCTGGGCCTCCCCGAGGTCGAGTCAGCCTCAAATGAGTACATGGTGCGGTGTGTAAAGATCGCCACTGGGGAGACAAATGGCGGCCGGGCGTGATGCTGGCTACCCACCCCCTCGTGTGCCGTCTGGCCTTCATAGGCGATCGTTAACAACAGTTGCCCCAACATTCTTTTAAAGTTGTATGGGGGATCTTTTGTGTTTGTAGTTTGTACAACGGAGGGCACAGGTCGTGCATCTGCCAGTCATCTCAGTCTACCAATGGCACCTGGGCCGGTCCCGTGTTCTCCTGCCAGTCGGGAGCCTTCAACACGTCATGTGGTCTCAAGGTGCACCTTGCCTGGCACATACACTGTGGTGACATCACCACCGCTTAGTACTTAGTAGCAAACGTAGGCTGTTGTTTGTGTGTCAGTTTCGATGCATGTCGGTGTGTGGTGTTGATGATGTTGTCAGTGATGGTGCTGGTGATAATGCTGATGTTGATACTCATGATGATGCTGCTGCTGACAATGGTGATGCAGATGATGGTACTGCTGATGATGCTGCTCACGCAAGGCGGGTGGAGAGTCCGGGCACATTTCGCTTGCTGCGCTCGTCCCATTGCGCCTCTCTGTACCGCCTCCCTCGCTGTTCATCCGCGCCAGGGCACGAACCGGTTCAGCAGAAGTCCTAGGCCAATTCGTCATCAGCATCGTGGTCCAAGCCTCGCCCTCTCTTCTCCCTTCTCCAGGCGCCTCCTGCGCCCCGCCCACTCGCTGAGATCTAAGGATCAAGGAGGAGGCGGCTCCTCTGAACCAAGGAACCCGACGGTTCACAACCAGGAGCCATCCCAGCTGCAGCACGCAGAGCACTGCGAAGAGTTTTGCGATGAACCTGAGCAGCGAGGAGGCGACGACAGTCATGGTCCTGAGTGCAGGAGACAGAGGGGGATGGGTGGTGGTGGTGGCTGAGTGGGTGGGTGCGAGTGGGTGTGGGAAGCTGTATATATATGGATATTTCTCGACATATTAACATATGTTGTTCCTGAGACCCGTTTGTAAGTGGAACGGTTCGTTAGTCGGAACACAAAATGTCCTGTATTTAAATGCCCATAGGTAAGTGTTATAAAATTGGTTACGGTTCAATGAAAAGGAAGCATTGTTAAAGTCGTAAAAAGGAAGAAATAATGTACATTAGCATGTAAAACTGTTAAATAAATACTGTATAGTAAACAACAAATAAAATAACATAATTATAGTTTTTTTTAAATCCGTTTTATTTTATTGATGCTGCCTGGCATGTCTCGGAAAGGGCGTAATGAGTAGCCACAGTTGCGCACACGGGGCACGTGCGCATTCACACAAAGACTCCCGTATAGACAATACAGACTGTTAGGGCAAGTGCACCTATGAAAGCCGGCACGGCACACGAGGGGTGAATGGCCAGCACCACGCCCTGCTGCATTTTCCCCCCAGTGGCGATGTTTACACACCGCACCACGTACTCGTTTGAGGATAAATCGACCTTGGGGAGGCCCAAGACCTATTCAGATAATCGTCACTGGTGTTGGCTGTGAGCGGGAATTTTACTCGGGTCGCCGCTTTTGTAGCGCAACGCGCTAACAATTACACTACCACTCCCCACACACTCACTTCCACACACTCACTTTCATACATACTCACTTTCACACACACGTGGCCGCTTGCACATACACTCCCAGCGTACGACTGACTCATGACATCTCGAGGAGGATTGCTCAGTTGAACAAAATAGTTCTGCAAATGCGAGTTCGTGTTTTAAGTCAATGTAAAAAAAATCATGGTCTGTAATTGTGGGTGTTCATAAGTCGGTTGTTGGTGAGTCGAGGACTGCCTGTATGTTAAACTTCTTTCGCACCCTACGGAGCCAACTATGCTAATAGGAGGTGCGGGGGTAGGACAACAAACCAAACACAAAAATGGGAAACAATGATTACCGCTCACAGCCACAAACACCACTGCCAATAATCTGAATCGATCTTGGACCTCTCATAGTTCGACTCAGCCCCAAATTAGTATCTGGTGCGGTGTGTAAACATCGTCACAATAGAGATAAAGGGAGTCTGGCGTGGTTCTGGCCACCCAACCCCTCGTGAATTGTGCCGCCTTCATAGTGCTCGCTTACAGAACTTGCTCCAATAGTCTGTTAAGGCTATACGGAGGATCTTTGTCTCTGGGAAACTGTGAAGGGGGCACAGTTGGTGCATCTGACAGATGTGCCAGTCGTCTCAGTCAATCAACCCATGGCATCTGGGTCTGTTACATGACCTGTCAGCAGTGAGCCTTCGACAGAGGTCGCAAACGGGTTTTGATTCCTTACCCGTACCCGTACCCGGTCGCACCAGGGTCGCAAATGGGTACCCGTACCCGGCCGGGTACGGGTATACGGTACCCGTTCCCTACCCGTACCCGTACCCTACCCGAAATGAGTGACAAACGGTTACTCACCAGTGACTCACGGCCTACCCGTACCCGTACCCGGCCGCACCAGGGTCTCAAACGGGTACCCGTACCTGGCCGGGTACGGGTAGCCGGGTATCGGGTAGGGTACGGGTATCGGGTACCCGGTTGCGACCTCTGGCCTTCGATACCTAACGTGATAGCCTCAAAGTGCACATAGCTTGGTACAAGCGCCGTGGTGATGTCACTGCCTCTTCGTAACGGTTTTTGTTGAAGTTGTCCCAGGTTGCTGCGGGCTCGCCTCCCCATCAATAGAAGGCCAGGAATGGTGGTTGTGGTGGTGGTGGGTTACCTCTAACTTATTTTGCACTCTACGTAAAAAGCCTTCAGATGCAGGCAAGGCTGCTGAGTAATATGCCTTCTCTAACTTCATGTCCTAGGTTCTATCTAAAGTGACCCCTTGGGATAGAATCATCCGGTTTTCTTTGAACACGTAGTTCAAAGAGGTTCCCATTAGTGTACCGAAGGAATTTCCATCTGACAGAGACCAATAGACTCACACATAGACCCATAGATTCGTCACACAGAAACGCATAAACTCACACAGAGACTCATATACTCACAAAGAGAACCATATACTTGCATAGAGACCCATATACTCACAGAGACCCAGAGTCTTCACCAGAGACTCATAGATTTGCACACAGAACCTTAGACTCACATATAGACCCAGAGACTCACGCAGAGACCCATCTATAGAATCACGGCTTCCACATCCGTAGAGAACAGACGTGCACATGTACGACTGGAAGGGTATACACGTGTACTCACTTGTGGGTGGAACTGGAATATTGGAAGACTGTTGCTCCTGTTACACACAGAGCAATGTGGGAGCAGGGTTCCTCCTCTTCTTCTTACACACAGGGCGATGATGCAGCAGGATTCCTCCTCTTACACACAGGGCGATGTTGGAGCAGTGTTCCTCCTGTTACACAGTGTGATGATGGAGCAGGGTTCCTCTTGTTACATGCAGGGCGATTTTGGAGCAGGGTTCCTCCTCTTACACACAGAGAGCGATGTGGGAGCAGGGTTCTCCATGTTACACACACACGGGACGATGTTGGAGCTGGGTTCCTCCTGTTACACACGGTGCAAAGTCGAAACAGGATTGCCTCCTGTTACACAGGGTATGATGTGGGAACACAAGGGAGTGGTTGAGTGAGCGGAGGAGGAGCCCAGCGATGACAGTGTGGAGAGTGAGTGACGTCTCTTCTCGGAGTCGCGCAGCCTGCCCTTAATTGACTTATTTGTATTCCTAAGGAAAGAGAGAGAGCATGGAGTGTATAATATATTAATTTAGTGTGTCTTTGTGTAAGTGTCTTTTCGAGGCACAGTGGTTAGAGTACTAAGCTAAGGACAGCTGAGCATAAAGGACTTTACAACTGCGAGAGGGGGCATCACTCACTCGGAGAGAACCACACCTTGTGTTCCAACATAGCCCTGTGTAATGTATGTATGTATAAACTCTTTCGCACCATACGTAGCCAACCGTGCTAATCGGAGAAACCCTGCTCCAACATCGTTCTGTCTAGATTGAAAACTTGATTTTTTAAAATCTATATTAAAAGCAAATGTCTTGATAACTGCGTTTTGTGTTTAGTTTGTTGTAATTACCCAGAATCTCCAATTAGCGTAGGTTGGCTACGTACGCTGCGAAATGCGTTCAACACACATACAACTCTACATAGTCCCGAGTTCGATTCACCCTCTCAGCCAACACAAACACCAGTGACAGCGATTATCTGAACCGGTCCTGGGCATCCTCCCTAGGTGGACTCATCCTTAAAACGAGAACCTGGTGTGGTGTGTAAACATTGCCACGAAGGAGACAAAGGTAGTGGGGCGTGGTTTTAGTCGCCCACCCTCTCGTGTACTGTGCCAACCTTAATAGGTGGTACTCACTGGCCCCCAAAGTCTGTTTAAGACCATGAGGGTGATATTTGTTATGCAAGAGGATCCGATGCGCTACGAACCGGGCGACGGGAGTTGTTCGATTCCCACCGGACTTGGTCGTCCCCTAAGTCGATTTAGCCTTAACATGACTACCTGGTGCGAGGGGTAAACCCACTTTAAACGTTAAACTTCCCCTCCGGGCCGAGACTCCCCTGATAGATGCTGCTGCTGAAGATCAAACCCGGGCCGGTTTCTAAACCGGTTCAGCTCATTTCAGCGATTTAATGCCAGAAGCCATACCCGCAGAATTTCTCACAGCTACCTGGCCCTGTCCCCCTCTGGTGTGGCTGGTTAACCAACATCAATTGGAAGCAGCAAATATGTTCGGGAGCCCAATTCCAACGTTAATAAACTCTAAAAGTATTTCTTATTTTAGCAAGTAAGGCCCACTGAGCTATATAACTCTTATTCAAAAGCGACCTGGCTATCACAAATGATAGCTCAATGAAGTGGCTTATCAT